GTATACCTAGAATAAATTCCATTTGGTCCTGTTGTATAGTTCTTTTTATACATCATTGCGTTTGATTTGCTGATATTTCGATGGGGATTTTTGTATTTATCTTCATGAGATATATTATAGGTCTCTAGTTTTCCATTTCTGTAGTGTCTTCACCTGGTTTGGGTATTAGGGTGATGCTGGTCTCAAGAATGAGTTAGGAAGTATTCCCTCAGATATTTTATGGAAGACATTGTAAAAAATTGGTATAATTTGTTACTTAAATTTTTGGTGTAATTCACAAGTGGACTAATGGCAGGCTTGGTGCTTTCTGTTTTAAAGGTTATTAATAATTGATTCAATTGCTTTTATAGATGTAGGCCTTGTTCAGACTATTTCTCCTTCTGTGAGTTTTGATAGATTGTGTCTTTCAAGGAATTGGTCCATTTTATCTAAATTACAAAATTTATGGGCATAGAGTTGTTCATGGTATTCCATTGTTATCCTTTTAATGTTCATGGGATCTGTAATGATGACTCCACTTTGATTTCTGATGTTAGTAATTTGTGTCTTCTCCCTTTTTTTCTTAGTTAGCCAGGCTAGAGTCTAGAGTCTTACAGTTTTATTGATCATTTCAAGGACCCAGCTTTTGGTTTTGTTGCTTTTCTCTATTGCTTTTCTATTTTTAATTTCTTTGATCTTTGCTCTAATTTTTATTGTATCTTCTGCTTACTTTGGATTTAACTTACTCCCCATTTTTTTTTTAAGTTTCCTAAGACAGAAGCTTAGATTATTGATTTGGAATCTTTCTTCTTTTCTGATGTTTTTCACTGATTTTGTTGTATCTCACAAATATTGGTAAGTTGTATTTTCATTTTTATTTAGTTCAAAATATTTTAAAATTTTTCTTGAGACTTTGTCCTTGACCTGTATGTTATTTAGAACTATTTTTTAATCACCAAGTATATTGGGAGTGTTCCAGCCATCTTTCTGTTATTGATCTCTAGTTTAATTCTACTGTGGTCTGAGAACATACTTTTTATGATTTCTATTCTTTTTGATTTGTTAAGGTGTGTTTTTAGGCCCAGGATGTGGTACGTTTTGGTGAATGTTCTGTTTTAGCTTAAGAAGAATGTGTATTCTCTTGTTGGATAAAATATTCTATAAATGCCATTTAGTTCCATTCGATGGCTGATGCTGTTCAGTTCAACTATGTACCTACCAATGTTTTGCCATTCTGCAAGATCTGTTGGATCTGTCAATTACTGACAGAGGGGTTTTGAAATCTCCAGCTGAAATAGTGGATTCATCTGTTTCTTTGTACAGTTCTATCAGTTTTTGTATCATGTATTTTGATCTTCTGTCATTAGGCACATACACATTAAGGATCATTATGTGCCAGGAGAATTGACCCCTTTATCATTATGTAATGCTTCTTTTTATCCCTTATATTTTTGTTTGGTATGAAGTCTGCTTTGTCTGAAATTAATATAGCTACACCAGCTTTCTTTTTATTTATGTTAGCATGGTATGTCTCTCTATCCATTTACCTTTCATTTATCTGTGTCTTTATATTTAAAGTGGGCTTCTTATAGACAACATATACTTGTGTCATGTTTGTCATTCATTTTTATAGTCTCTTTCTTTTTATTGGGGTATTCAGACCATGGACACTTAAAGTTATTATTGATATGCTTGGATATCAATATAGTTGGATAATACCTACCATGTTTGTTACTGTTTTCTATTCATTGCCCTCATTCGTTCATTCGTTCTTTTTCTTTCTTTCTTTCTTTCTTTCTTTCTTTCTTTCTTTCTTTCTTTCTTTCTTTCTTTCTTTCTTTCTCCCCTCTCTCTCTCTCTCTTCAGTCTTCTACTCTTTTTCTGGCTTTAAGTGATCCTGTTATTTGATTGCAGTTTTTCTCCTCTCTTAGCATAGCAGTTGAACTTTTTTTTTTTACTTTTGTAAGTGATTGTCCTTGAGTTTGCAATTACACTGATCAGTAATCTAAGTCTGCATTCAAATAGCTCTATACCACCACATGGGTAGGGCAAGTCCCTTATGAGAGAGTGTTTCCAATCCCTCCCTCCTGTCCTCTATAACATTGCTGTCATTCATTTCAATTATTCATAAGCTATACTCACTATATATAGCGCTGCTACCGTGATGTTGAACAAACTGTTATATGTTAGATCAGTTAAGATTAAAAAAAAAAAGTATTTTGTTTTATCACCATATATTCCTTTTCTAATGCTCTTTCTTTTTTGTGTACTTCTGAGCTTATAACCTGTATCATTTTCCTCCTTTCTGAAGAACATTTAACATTTCTTGCAAGGCAGGTCTACTGGAGACAAACTTGCTCAATTTTTTTTTTTATCTGAGAAAGTCTTTATTTTCCCCTTACCTTTGAAAGTTAATTTGCCTGAATACAGAATTCTAGGTTGGTGAGTTTTTTTCTTTTGAATACTTTAAATATTTCATTCCATTGTCTTCTTGCTTGCAGGGTTTCTGAAGAAAACCCTGATTTCTGACTTTCTTAAAGATTTTCTGTTTGTCTTTGATTTTCTGCAGTTTGAATATGATATGCCTAGGTATAGATTTTTTTTTTAAACATTTATTTGACAGAGAGAGACACAGCGAGAGAGGGAACACAAGCAGGGGGGGTGGGAGAGGGAGAAGCAGGCTTCCTGTGGAGCAGGGAGCCTGATGTAGGGCTAGATTTTTTTGTTTATTTTATACTGCTTGGTGTTCTCTGAGCTTCCTGGATCTGTGGTTTGGTGGTTATCATTTTGGAAAATTCTTGGTCATTATTGTTTCAAATATTTCTTCTTGTCACCTTAGAAATCATAAAACGTATGTTCTCAGACCACAGTAGAATTAAACTAGAGATCACTTTCTCTTTGTCACCTTTTATAATTGTCCCACATTTCTTGGATATTCTGTTCTTTTTCATTCTTTTTTCTCCTTGCATTTTAGTTTGGGAAATTTCTATTGGCAGTTCTTCAAGTTCCCCGATTCTTTTCTTGGTTGTGTCCAATCTATTAATGAGCCCATCAAAGTCATTCATCATTTCTATTATGGTGTTTTTGATTTCCAGCACTTTGAATCTTTCTTAGAGTTTCCATCTCTGCTTATATTTCCTGTCTGTCCTTTCATGTGGTCCACTTTTTCCATTAGATGCTTTAACATATTAATCATAATTATTTTAAACTCCCAATCTGATAATTCCAACATTGCTGCCATATTAAAGTCTGGTTCTGTGCTTTCTTCATCTCTTTAAACTGTGCTTTAAGTCTTTTAGTGTGCTTTCTAATTTTTTGTTGAGTGCTGGCCACAAGGTAGTGAGTAAAAGGAACTGTTTAGAGTGAGACATTATGTTTATTGTGGTAGGAGTTAGGCTGTGTTTACTGTTTGGTGTTACTACAGTTGTCAGAGGCTAAAATTTCCACTAGTGTCCTGCTTTATGTTTCCCCTGTTGTCTTTGGGCTTCCCTTGAAAATTCTTCTTAACTATAGTCTGAGATATGCAGTTATTTTAGTGTATTCCCTTGTTATTTTATAGGCGCCCTTTTGATGTGGTGGTGGGTGTGAGAGCAGGGGAAGCATTTTATAGTCCTATGATTAGGTCTCAGTCTTTTAGGGAGTCTATGCCCATTAGCTTTTACCTTCACAAGCGCTTCTCAGTCACCCTGTCGCCGTAAGTGAGGTGGGAAGCCTAGAGGGAGCTGGGGTTGGATATTTCCCTTTTTGAGGGCAGGGCAGTTAGGTTGTGAAAAACCCCAGCTATTTAGGCTCTGGTAAAATACTTTGTCTTGAGGCAGGCCTTTTTAAGAACAGAAATGCTTTGGGCATATTTCAAAGTGGCTACTTTTCCTCTTGTACTAGAGGAAGCTGGAAGGGATTTTTCTCTAGTCTTTGCTCTAAGAACCTGGTAGTGTCCTAGAGATAAAACTCACAAAATATAGGAATCCCTTTAAGATGGTTCTTCTGGAGTTTTTAACCCTCAAACTTATCTGCCATGAACTGCCAATTACACTTTACCTTTTCCTTCCCAGGACTGGTTCCCCTGGAAGTTTCTGCTCAGGTAGGTTGTGATTCTCAGGAACACCTGTCTGTCCAATTTAAGGGATGACAGTTTTCCCTGTGACCTCAATTCTCTTTTGGATTTAAGAAGAGTGGTTGATTTTTTGGTGTGTCCAGCTTTTCTCTTGTTGTGAATGTTGTCTTCCAAGCTCATTATATTCCAGACCAAAAATTGGAAGCCTGCAACATTTTTTTTAGTTAAAGCTTTCAATTATAGACTTGGGTTTTGGCTTTTTTCTGAATGAAATAATTGAAATGGAACTTGCATATATTGCTTAATAGTTTTTTATTACACTGGTAATGAAGTATTGTGCCATCAATGTATTGATATTTTTTACCTTTTTTCAGAGAGTGAGACACCACCCAATAGCTATTCTAATTGTTACTTATTGTATTCCCTTATCTTATGCCTGCAAGAACAGACAAGCACTCTTTGAGAACTCTCCACCAAACTATCTCACTCATAATTTCCCTCCATCTGGCTACCAGTCAGTGGATAACTATTCTAACTTTCCATGCCTATCTCAGAGTCCTCTGTTATCCCTTTAATCCTCTGTTAGGTTCAACAGGTTGTCGGCATTTGAGTAGGAGTAATAATATATCTCACCTTATTGTTTAAAAGTCTACCTTATTCTTAAAAATTTTTTAGATAACCCCTTTAATTAAAGTCTTTCTGGAAGCCTACAAAAAACTGTCAGAAACCACACATTTCTGTGATATGGCCATTAGCAGGCTCTTTACTATATCCCCCATGCTTCTTTTTGTTTGTTAGCTAATGTTTGAGTTGCTTCATTTGTCTAAGTAAAATTACAATATTTCAGAAAATGAATAGAGAGCATGTTTTCCATGCTTTGTATCATGTTGGGTCATCTAGTAATCAGTGATTAACACTGCTTAAAAATGCTTAATATAGTTGGTATTTTTGTTTCTGCTTTTTACAGGAGGAACTCTCTGGAATGAAAAATAGGGTACAAGTAGTTGTGCTTGAAAATGAAAGGCTCCAGCAAGAGCTGAAATCTCAGAGACAGGAGGAAGCAATGAGGGAACAAACACTTCTGGATGCATCTGTGAGCATTTTTCAAACCATAAATTATATTTTAGTTTGAATGTTCCTTCCTACCCTCTCCCCCAGCCTTCTGAACTGCTGAAATTCTTGACTTGAAGTTTGGCAAATGTACTGTGCTATTACTCACTTGGGGCCTCAAAAATTAAGATTCACCATGGTGGAATGAATCCTCAAATGCAATGATGTAGCGATGCCAAATATCTGTGCTGATTTCCTCTCTGAGCATACATACCATTTATGTTTTTTCCATATGGAAAGAGCAGGTCCGAAGCAGGAAGCAGATCAAATAGGAAACACTTGGTAAATCCAGAAACTTTCTAACCATAGCTTAGATTTCTGTTGTCTTCCTCTAAATTGCCCTTGCACTCTGAATCCTAATAAGTCTAATCGGCAGCATGGGGAAGCATAGAGAGCACTGGCCTGAGGGTACCAGGATCAGCATGTTAGTTTCCCGTCGTCCCTAACAAGTGGGGTGTTTCACGAGTAATGTTAACAATAGTAACAATAGTAATGTTGCAAACGTGGCTTAACCTCACATGTCCTCTGCTTATTGGCAATTTGAGAAGATTCACCCATATTAGCTGTTCTTACTCTTTAATGTAACAGTCACTTGGGATACTTGTTGATAGTGCAGATTCCTGAGCTCCCTTCCCTGAGAGTCTGATGCAGTGGGTTTGGGTTAAGTCCTTGAGTTAAAAATATGAATTTTTAACAAGTTGCCTAAGTGCTTCTAGTATCAATGCACCACATTTTGAAGAACAGTGGATTCGATGATGTCTTTAATTGTACAACACAAAATTCTTGTGATGATATTTAAGTAGTGTTTAAACTTAATGTCTCCTTATGACTTGTCAGAGATACTGTTGCCTTAAAAATGTTATTTACTCTTTTGCTATAGGACACAGTTAATCACAGCTTGTCCTGCTTTTTGAAACAAATTCAGATTTCCATGGGGAAGTGTTAATATTTGCCTGTTGCAGCTTTACTTTACAATGGATTTTGGTGATTTTGACTTAGTTGTCATTGGTAAATCCATTCTGTTAAGAAAAAATATGAGTGCCTTAATGTTTTACCTAGGTGTCCTCTAATTTTTTATTTTGAAGTGTTTTTTTTGTTGACCTGACCTGATATCTCATTTGTAATCCTTGAGTTCTGTGTTAGAATTTCCTACTTAGAAGTAGCTGATTGTGTTAAATCTGAATGGCAAAGTGGGCTGATCAGTATTTCTGTTTATTTTTCTGAAGTATGTTTCAGTTTGTGTCCAGCTGTTTTCCCTTCACCAGAAGAGTTTTTTGAATATTTATATTATATTATTTATTATCAATGTTAGTACAAGTTAAAAATCCCATCTTAGTTGCTTATTATTTTAATGTCAATTTGAAGATGATAGAGCCATATAAAAAGTACTTCGAAGTAGCTCGTTTTAAAAATATATTCTTTTGCTTTTCTTCCAAATATGTAGTCACTTAGCAAACAGTGACTCAATTATTCATAGACTTCGGTATTTGTACAATGACAAAGAAGTGGAAGAAGGGGAAGTGAAGTGAGAAAGGAAATTAGGCAGACAAGTGAACCAGAGGGCAAGAGAAGTGAGTAATACAGAAGGGGAAGGAAACAATGTACCAACACACATGCTTTGCTATAGGAACAAAGGAAACTTGCTGAAGAAAATTACAGCCATAGTTATGGAAAAAACAAGTTGTAGAGTGTTTCTTTTAAAAAAAAACACATGAACTAAAATATAATGCAAACAACAAAATGATTGTTGCACGTGTCAGGAGACCTTGATATCTATTTTAATGTCAGTCTTCTGTGTTATTTTGTTTAGAATTGCTAACCCTGCCACATTACTGAATTGCTGTATGAGATCTAGTAATATGGGGGTGGAGTCTTTTGGGTTTTCCACATAAAGTATCATGTCGTCTGCGAAAAGAGAGAGTTTGACTTCTTCTTTGCCAATTTGAATACCTTTTATTTCTTTTTGTTGTCTGATTGCTGTTGCTAGGACTTCTAGTACTATGTTGAACAATAGTGGTGAGAGTGGGCATCCTTGACGTGTTCCTGATCTTAAGGGAAAGGCTCTCAGCTTTTCCCCATTGAGGATGATATTCGCTGTGGGTTTTTCATAGATGGATTTTATGAACTTGAGGAATGTTCCCTCTATCCCTATACTCTGAAGAGTTTTATTCAGGAAAGGATGCTGTATTTTGTCAAATGCTTTTTCTGCATCCATTGAGAGGACCATATGGTTCTTCTCTCTCCTCTTATTAATGTGTTCTATCACATTGATTGATTTGCAAATGTTGAACCACCCTTGCATCCCAGGGATAAATCCCACTTGGTCATGGTAGATGATCCTTTTAATGTATTGTTGGATCCTATTAGCTAGGATTTTGTTGAGGATTTTGGAATCCATATTCATCAGGGATATCAGTCTGAAATTCTCCTTTTTGATGGGGTCTTTGCCTGGTTTGGGGATTAAGGTAATGCTGGCCTCATAGAATGAGTCTGGAAGCTTTCCTTCTGTTTCTATTTTTTGAAACAGCTTCAGGATACAAAATCAATGCACAGAAATCAGTTGCTTTCTTATACACTAACAATGCAATTGTAGAAAGAGAAATTAGAGAAATTATTCCATTTAAAATAGCACCAAAAACCATAAAATACCTAGGAATAAACCTAACCAAAGGGGTAAAGGATCTATACTCTAGGAACTATAGAACACTCATGAAAGAAATTGAAGAAGACACAAAAAGATGGAAAAACATTCCATGCTCATGGATCGGAAGAATAAACATTGTTAAAATGTCTGTGCTACCCAGAACAATCTATACCTTCAATGCCATCCTGATGAAAATTCCAATGACATTTTTCAAAGTGCTGGAACAAGCAATCCTAAAATTTGTATGAAATCAGAAAAGACCCCGAATCACCAAGGAAATGTTGAAAAAGAAAAACAAAGCTGGGGGCATCACGTTGCCCGATTTCAAGCTATATTACAAAGCAGTAATCACCAAGACAGCATGGTACTGGCACAAAAACAGACATATAGACCAATGGAACAGAATAGAGAGCCTAGATATGGACCCTCAACTCTATGGTCAAATAATCTTCGACAAAGCAGGAAAAAATATGCAATGGAAAAAAGTCTCTTCAATAAATGGTGCTGGGAAAATTGGACAGCCACATGCAGAAGAATGAAACTTGACCATTCTCTGACATCACACACAAAGATAAACTCAAAATGGATGAAAGACCTCAATGTGAGACAGGAATCCATCAAAATCCTAGAGGAGAACATAGGCAATAACCTCTTTGACATCGGCCACAGCAACTTCTTTCAAGATACATCTCTTTGGAGATAGCTAGTGAAACAAAAGCAAAAATGAACTTTTGGGACTTCATCAAGATAAAAAGCTTCTGCACAGCAAAGGAAACAGTCAACAAAACAAGGAGGCAACCCACAGAATGGGAGAAGATATTTGCAAATGACAGTACAGATAAAGGGCTGGTATCCAAGATCTAAAAAGAACTTCTCAAACTCAACACCCAAAAAACAAATAATCAAGTCAAAAAATGGGCAGAAGACATGAACAGACACTTCTCTGAAGAAGACATACAAATGGCTAACAGACACATGAAAATATGTTCATCATCATTAGCCATCAGGGAAATTCAAATCAAAACCACACTGAGATACCACCTTACACCAGTTAGAATGGCAAAAATTGACAGGGCAAGAAACAACAAATGTTGGAGAGGTTGTGGAGAAAGGGGAACCCTCTTACACTGTTGGTGGGAATGCAAGTTGGTATAGTCACTTTGGAAAACAGTGTGGCGGTGCCTTGAAAAATTAAAAATAGAGCTACCCTATGACCCAGCAATTGCACTACTGGGTATTTACCCCAAAGACACAGATGTAGTGAAAAGAAGGGCCATATGCACCCCAATGTTCATAGCAGCAATGTCTGCAATAGCCAAACTGTGGAAAGAGCCGAGATGCCCTTCAACAGATGAATGGATAAAGAAGATGTGGTCCATATATACAATGGAATATTACTCAGCCATCAGGAAGAATGAATACCCAACTTTTACATCAACATGGATGGGACTAGAGGAGATTATGCTAAGTGAAACAAGTCAAGCAGAGGAAGTCAATTATCATATGGTTTCACTTATTTGTGGAACATAAGGAAGAGCATGGAGGACATTAGGAGAAGGAAGGGAAAAATGAAGGGGGGGGAGGAAATCGGAGGGAGAAATGAACCATGAGAGACTATGGACTCTGAGAAACAAACAGGGTTTTAGAGGGGAGGGGGGCAGGGGGGATTGGTTAGCCCAGTGATGGATATCAAGGAGGGCACGTACTGCATGGAGCACTGGGTGTTATACGAAAACAATGAATCATGGAACACTACATTAAAAACTAATGATGTATTGTATGGTGACTAACATAACATAATAAAATTAAAAAAGAATTACTAACCCTACTGCTTTCTGCTTGTGTAGGTGAATTGAGGCATTTCAGCAATGTATGCTCAGTGCTGTGTTCAGTTTTAATGTAAATGAAACTTTTTAGAATATCTTAAATATAAACACATCAAGAGACATTATCTTTCTTTTTTTTTCTGAACTCTTTTTACTGAGTCTGTTACCATGCTGACGGTAGATCTTGCCAAAGCTATTGGCGGATTTGAGTATAGATTTTCAGTATTTCTTAATGCCTTCTTTTGAAAAATAATTAAAATAATTATACAGTAATGACTAATACTTACTGATGACTACATGTTACGATGTGGCAGGCAGTATATCAAGCACTTTATTTACATTCAATTATTTTAGGTTTATAGTAGCAAAGGAAGGCGAGTGTTATGCCTGTTTTCAGATGAGTAAATTAAGGTACAGGGCAGTTAAGTAAACAAAGCAACACTACTACTGTCACAAAGCTAGAAAATGGCAAAGCTAGGACTCAAACATGGGACTGTCTGACTCCCCAGATCCATCTGCCTAGCCTTGAGTTAAACTTTCTGCATAAGTTAGGAATAGCTTGTCAGTATTTAACCAAACTACCTTTGTTTGCCATGGGGTAGACGATTCTCCCCACAAGAGAGGAACATCCTCTTTATTGTTCTTGAGTTTTAGCCTTGGACTTGGATGGTAGCCTACATGATGTTTAGTGCTTTAACTACTTTATGACCCAGTGGTTGAAGAAACAAGCAGGTTATTTTTTAAAAATTACAACCATTTCCATCTTCATTTTTCATCATTTTTTAAGTGAAATTTCTCTTCATGGAGAGCTTCTCTCCAGAGTTCAAAAAATTATAATAATATCAAAATATATGCTATTTATTAGAAATTTTGGGGGCAACTGGGTGGCGCAGTCAGCTGAGCGAAACTCTTGGTTTCGACTCAGGTCATAATCTCAGGGTTGTGAGATCCAGCTCTGAGTAGGGCTCTGTGTTCTGCATGGAGTCTGCATGGGACTCACTCTGCCCCTCCCTGCCCTCAGATAAATAAATACATCTTAAAAAAAAAAAAGAAAAAAGAAATTTTGGCATGTGTTCTCATTCAAAGATCTCAGAGATTTTTTTAAAAGCAGAACATTTCTGAGTCATATCTTTCATGTCTACTTTCATCCCCTCACTACTACCCCTCCCCTCAATTAAGTAATCAAAGGTTTTCGGTGATCTCCAGGGATGTAAATGTAATTATATTTTTTTAATTTTGGTCAAATACCATTCAAATTCTTAAATGTTATCTGTGAAACACAAAGTGTCAATTAGACTAGCACTTCTTTCCAAAGAATGACAATATTTTATTTCATAAATCAGCAATGTATAGTGTATGTACTTTTTCCAATTTCTCTGTAGGAAGTTAGTGCTGCCGTTCTTCACAATTCTCTAAGGCAACTTTGAATGCACTAAGATCTTGATTTGTCCTTACTAGAAAATCAAGTCCAAGCTTGTTATACCATATTTTCCAGATCCTTATTTGACTCTCTAGCTTGACATTTTGATATCTGTTGTTTTGTGCCTCAATCTCTAGTAATTCTGAATTGCATGAGTCCCCTGTAGGCACCAGACTTTTTCACACATCTGTGACTTTCCCCATAATGTTTTCTTCTTGGCATGCTCTTCTCATCTAGCTTGCTCTTTCTCATCCAAGATATAACACCAATGTCAACACTTCCCCAAAAAACCTTCCTTGAATCTCTTGTTCTCAGTGCCCCTCCTTTGTTTTCCCATAGCTCCCCATGCACACCTCTGGCCTAGCACTTACCTTATTAAATTGAAATTATCTGCTTAGGGGTTTGTCTTGAGGATGGGATTGGTCTTGTTCATTTTTATCCCCCAAGCTCTTAGCACAGTGCCTGAACATAGGAGCTAACATACACAAATGTTTGCATTAAACTGAACTTCCAGAAGAATATGGAATAGGCCCTCAGAATACTACTTGGGGTGAATGAGCAGTTTAGTTCATTCTAGCATGATATGGCACTGCAGTGTAGTTCCGTGTTTGGGACATGTCCTCTCCTGTGAGTACTACCATATCTTTTGGCCCTTAGCAAGAGTTCAGTAATTATTTGTTGAATTAAATTAATATTTCAGTCCTTGTACACACAAATTACCCAGATCTTTGGGCTGCATATTTCACTGAATGTTGAGAGGGTATCAGAGGTGCAAACACAATGGGTATACACCAGATGTGGTCTACAGGCATGTTTTGTTTGTTTGATGAACAATAAACCAGTATTTAACAGTGTTTCAGATGAAAAGCCAGATATCTGGCTTATCTTTTAAAAAAATCAGAAGATTTTTTTTTGTAATATGAGTTTGCATTCACACATGGCAGCAATTGCCTGGAACTGAGTAATGGCTGCAACTTTCAGACCGTTTGTCATGGTCCCTACCACTCCTTTCTGAGTCCCTGACGTGCAGGCTATATGTCAGTTCTGTTTATCTCCATGCACTGTTTTTCTTGTTTTTTTTTTTTTTTTTCTTGCTTAGAAATTTTATTGGTCCTGGGGAAAGGAAGGAAGACAGCCCCCGCTTCCCACGGGGGGACCATGCACTGTTTTTCTTATTGAAGATAAATATTTTTCTGGAAAGACAGGAGAGCATAGTGGTTTGGGGCATGGCCTGGGGAACTAGATTGCCAGGGTTCAGATCCTAGCTCTGCTGCTTATTAGCTACTTCCTACCTCTGTGACTCTTACAAGTTACTCAGTGTGACTCAGTTTCCTCTTCTTTTTTTAAGATTTATTTATTTATTTTAGAGAGAGTGAGCAAACACGGTGTGGTGGGGCAGAGGGAGAGGGAGAGAGAATCTCAAACAGACTCCCCGCTGAATGCAGAGCCCAGGGGCTTGATCTCGTGACCCTGAGATCATAACCTGAATCAAAATCAAGAGTCAGACACTTAACTGACTGAGCCACGCAGGCACCCCAATTTCCTCTTCTATGAAATGGAGATAACGATGAAACTTATCTCATAGGGTTGTTATAGTGATTAAATGAGTTAATATATGTGAAGCACATAAACAGTGTCTGGCACATAGTAAATACCATCTGTATTAACATTATTATTAGTCATGCCTTTATGAAAGGTAGAAAATGAAACCAAGAGAGGGCTGTGTGTTTTAAGAATATATGTCTCCAGAGAAGTAAGAGAGAAGTTCATTTGTTGAAACACTGGCAGCCAGCCCTCTTTGCTCATTTACATTATTACCTGTGCCTGTAGGACTCTGACTTTGTAACACTTGTGGAATATGACCCTAATAGCATGAAAGTGTAAAATCATTCTTGATGTGTAGTTTAGAAGCATCTGCTCTCGTCTTCCTTTCATCACAGATGAGAATCAGTGTTCCATTTGTAAAGCATGTATGTTGATTTAAAGTTAGATGCCAGTTATAATTACTCGTACGTTTTATTTTAGGGAAACCTGCAGAATTCTTGGATTACAACAGGTGAAGACTCTGGGGTGGATGAAGCTGCCAAGTGGCGATTCTCCCAGGACAATGCAGATACTGTCAAAGGTCCATCGGCTGGTGAGGCTGAGAAATGGAAGCTAGAACTGGTGAGAATTTGGCTGCTTTTCTCTTATGCATCTACTTTTTTTGTACTTTTTCTATTGTGATAGATATACGTACTATTAAATTTAGTGTTTTTGCCATTTTAAAATTTACATTTAACCATCGTTAAGTGTACAACTCATTTGCATTAAATACAATCACAGTGCACAACACTATCCATTTCCAGAATTTTTATCATCCATAGCCATGAAATAATAACTTCCATTCCCCTCTCTCCCAACCCCTGACAACCTCTTCTACTTTCCGTCTCTATAAATTTGCCTGGTCTAGGTACCTGACACACATGGAAACAAACAATATTTGTCCTTTTGTGTCTGGCATGTTTCATCTAGCATAATGTTTTCAAGGTACATCTGTGGTGTAGTACATATCAAAATATCATGCCTTTTTAAGGGTGAGTAATATTCCATTTACATATATACGACAGTCTGTTTATCCATTCATTTGCTCATGAACTTTTAGTTTGTTACCACCCTTTGGCTCTTGTGAATAAAGCTACCATGAACATCAATGCACAAGTATCTGTTTTCATCCCTACTTTCACTTCCCTTGGGCATATAACCAGAAAGAGAATGGTTGGATCATATGGTAATTCATTCTTTTCTTTTTCTGCTCCTCAGACTCAGTTATTTTAACTATCCTATCTTCAAGCTTGCTGATCCTTTGTTCTGCTGCTCACATCTGCTCTTCTATGCCTTTAGGAATTTTTCATTTCAGTTGTTGTACTTTTCAGCTCCAGATTTGTGTTTAGTTCCTTTTATAATTTATTTTCTTTATTTAAGTTTTTATTTTAATTCCAGTTAACATAGAGTTATATTAGTTTCATGTGTACAGTTATTTTCCTTATTTCTTTTAGTTCTTTGGCCATGTTTTCTCTTAGCCCTTTGAGCATATTTAAGACCATTGTTTTAAACTGTTTGTCTAGTAGGCCTGGTGTCTATAGATTTTTTAAAAAGATTTTTACTTATTTATTTGACAGAGAGACAGCGAGAGAGGGAACACAAACAGGGGAAGTGGGAGAGGGAGAAGCAGGCTTCCCACTAAGCAGGGAGCCCAACATGGGGCTCGATCCCAGGTCCCTGGGACCATGACCTGAGCTGAAGGCAGACGCTGAACAGTTGAGCCACCCAGGCACCCCATGTGTCTATAGATTTTTTAAGGGTGGTTTCTGTATTTATTCTGTACCTCTAAGTGGGCCATATTTTTCTGGTTCTTTGTAGGTTTTGTGATTTTTTTTTTTTTTTTTGGTTGAAAAGTAGACATTGAAATGAACTATTATACTGTGGTAACTCTGGAAATCCAATAGCCCAGTTCCCCATGGGTTTTCTCTCTTTTATTGTTGAAGGCTATATTGTCCTTTCGTTTTGAGACTTTTCCAAATTATTTTTGTAGATTATTCCTTATTGTGTGTGATTACTGAAGTCTGTTTCATTAGCTCATGTTCAGCTAATTTTGACAGAATTTCCTTGAATGCCAGGAGCTAAAATAAGTAAACAAACAACCACCAAAAAAACACCTGCACAAAAAAACAAAAAAGAATAGCCACGTCTGCCAGTTTTTGCTGATTGGCTCTGTGCTGGGGCATTCCTTCACCCTGTAGCTGGGCTTGCTCTGAGCCTAGAGATCAGCTTAAGGTCCTCTCAGGACTGAGTATGTGTCTTCCCTGGGCATGCTTGTGGCTTTCTGAATTCCCTTATATACACAGCTGGTCTTGAATGTCCTCACTTCCTAGAGTTGAAAATCAATTTATTTTCCGCTCAAATGATACTTTCCAATCTTTTGATCTCTGTAACAGGCCTTTCTTCTTCCTCTAGTCTGAAGTTTTCTTTGCAATAAATTTGACATGGCAGAATTGATCAACATTGATGGAAATGTAAAAATGACACTGTAGATGGAGCTTGCCATGGGAAAATAGGATGCATTATAATTCAGTCTCATTATCATCTCTAGGTGTTATAGTTTTTTTCTGTTTTCTGTCAGTCTTTCAAGTATTACTGCAGACACACAGACCACTCACTCCTTAGTTACTTCATAAACTTATTACCCACCTCCGTTTCTTTTTGCATTCCTAGCTGTGGTTTATGCAGACCTCCTGACCTAAAATATTTCCTTATCTTCTACCTACCAAAATGTTTCCAGCCTGCAAGGCTTCATTCAGACGCCCCCTCCCATTCCACCTTCCTGGATTACATGTTTCCACTTCTCCTTTACCCACATTAGAATTAATTTCTCTCTTGTGTCTCCTCTCAGTGTTGTGTTTATAACTGTTAGAGATTCGTTTGTATCCAGTTTGTGTCAAAGGTCAGTCCCTGCATCTGTGTGCCCTGTGTCCCAAATCTTTCTTTGTTTCCAAGGGTTTCACTCTTGGACTTACCTCCTCTTGCTCTTACGTCTTTCCTCCCTCTTGACTGGGTTATTCTCACCAGAATATGAGCTTTACTATCTCCCATTTTTTTTTTTTTTAAGAGAGAGAAAAAGAGAGTGCTCGAGTGGGGAATGGGGAGGGGCAGAGAAAGAGGGAGAGAGAATCTTAAGCAGGCTCCATGCTCAGCATGGAGCCCAACATGGGGTTCAATCTCACAATCCTGAGATTATGACCTATAGTTCCCATCTTAAAGCAAACAAGTACAAAATATATTCTTTTAACCATACATTCCCTTTAAACTATCACCCAACTGTATTGCTCCCCTTTATACCAAAACCTTCCCAAACAGTTGTCCACATTCATGATTGCATTTCTCACCTCCCCTTGTCTCTTATACTTAAGTTGAGCTTAGACCTTATATTCACCTAAACTTGTTCTTTTCAGGGTCATTAATGACCTCCACATATCAGTCCTCATCCTCCTGAACCTTGTGGCAGCATTCTATAATATGTTGGTTAGTTGCTCATGCTATCCTCCTTTACTTGTCTAATGACCCAATTTAACATAAATTCAGAAGAGTATGCAAAACAAAAATGTGCAGCTTAATGATTTATCTTCAAATGATTTATCTTCAAATGTGATTGTCACCTGTAAGATGTGTAGCACTGCCCTGTCCCAGAAGCCCTCTTTGTGCCCCCTCCCAATCCCTGCCTCTCATTCCCTTAGAGCTAATCACTTAACTTTCATGAAAATTGCCTAAGCAGGATCTCTAGCCTCTAGTTGATACATGCCTATTTTTTTAAACATTGTATAAATGGGGCCACACAGTATGTATTTTTTTTGTGTGTCTGGCTTATTTCATTCAACCTTACATTTGTTAGATTCATACACATTGTTGCATGTGGCAGAAGTTTGTTCGTTTTCACTGGTGGGTCTACTGTATAAATATACTACAATTCACTTATCTATTCTACTATTGATGGATTTTTGTATTGTTTCCTGTTTGGGGCTATTGTGAATATTGCTGCTATGGACATTCTTTAATATGTCTTTGGTGTGCATGACACACATTTATGTTGGGTGTGTACCTTGGAGTGGAATTGTTGATCTTGAGGTATGTGTATGTTCACATTGAATGGTTAAGGAGAGCATTTTGGGTGGATTTTATCAGTTTACACTCCTACAGCACCATAGGAGTGATACTATTGCTCCATATTCCTGCCAACACATTACATTGTCAGTTTTTCTGGTGGGCTTGTAGTGCTATCTCATTGTGATTTTCATTTGCATTTCTCTGATGATTCAGTTGTGAGATTGAATATCTTTTCATGTATTTATCGGTGTCCTCCTTTGTGAGGTACATGTTCAAACATCCTACTCATTATTTTGAGTTATTTGACATGTTTTTTTTTTTTTAATTCTTTATGTATTCTGGGTATAAACCCTTACAATATGTCTATTGTAAATATATTTTCCCATTCTGGAGCTTGCCTTATAATTATCCTGATAGTTTTCATTCTCTCTCTTTCTTCTTTCTTCATGACTAAAATTTCTTAATTTTAATGTAATCTCAGTTTTCCCCCTTTATTGTTTAGTGCTTTCTGTATCCTTTATCAAAAATGTTTCCCTGCCCCGGGTCATAAAAATATTCTCTTACATTATCTTCCAGAAACTTTATAGTCTTGCTTTTAACATTTAAATCTACAATCTACCAGTCTTTATTTTGTGTATGATGTGTTGTGTAGGGGGTCATAATTTGTTCTTTTCCCGTATGGTTATTTATCTATATCCCAGTACCATTTGTCAAAAAGACAGTCCTTTGTCTGGTATCTTTGTTATAAATCAACATATATATATATGTCTGGGCTCTGTGTTTTATTTCTTTGGTCTTTGTGCTACTATCATCCTCTCTTGATTGTTACAGCTCTATACCTGGTAGACTACATACCACATCTTCCAACATTGTATTTTATCTTCAAGAGTGTCTTATTTCTGGAGGCACCTGGGTGGTGCAGTTGGTTGAACATCTGACTCTTGGTTTCAGCTCAGGTTGTGATCTCAGGGTTGTGAGATTGAGCCCCATGTTGGGCTCTGCACTCAGCCTAGAGTCTGCTTGAGATTTTCTCTCGCTCTCCTTCTGCCTCTCCCACTCATGCTCGCTCTCTCTCTAAAATAAATAAATAAATCTTAAAAAAAAAAAAGTGTCTTATGTCTGGCCTTTTGTATTTCCAAATACGTTTTAGAATAAATTGTTGGGCACCTGGGTGGCTCAGTGGTTAAGTGACTGCCTTCAGCTCAGGTCATGATCCTGGAGTCCTGGGATTGAGTCCCACATCGGGCTCCCTGCTTGGCAGGGAGTCTGCTTCTCCCTCTGACCCTCTTCACTCTCTCTCTCTCAAATAAGTAAATAAAATCTTTTTTTTTTTTAAAAAAGAATTAATTTGTCAAGTTCCAGAAAGCCATTATGAGGCTTTGATTGAGATTGTCTTTTGATGGAGATTGATTGCTAGAAGTCACTTGGGGGAGAAGATATCGTTATTTATTTATTTTTAAAGATTTTTATTTATTTATTTATTTATTTATTTATTTATTTATTTATTTATTTATTTATTTATCTATCTATCTATCTATCTATCAGAGACAGAGAGAGAGAGAGCACAAGCAGAGGGAGCGGCAGGCAGAGGGAGAAACAGGCTCCCCGCTGAGCAAGGAGCCCGATGTGGGACTTGATCCCAGGACCCTGGGATCATGACCTGAGCCAAAGGCAGGCAGACACTTAACCGATGAGCCACCCAGGCATCCTGAAGATAGCTTTATGATATTATATCATCTAATCCTTTATGTTTTAAAGATTTTATTTGTTTATTTGAGAGAGAGAGAGAGCACAAGCAGGGGTGGGTAGGGGCATATCTCTTTCCTATGTAGATGCAATGCACTTCATTGGTCTTCTCTTTTCCACACTTCAGAGTGACTTAAGATTCAAATCTGATCAAGTTTTCAATGTCCACCCAATGCCTCTACTACATGGAGATTACAAGAGTTGCCTGGGTAAAGGTCTTGTATATTTTTTCTTCTCATGGCCTATTCTCACCTGTTCACCCATCTCTATCCATTCTTCCATCTAGCATTGTATTTGTAAGTGGATACAGTTCCACTCACTGGTCAAACGTGCAACATGTTTTCTCCAGCCTCTGTGCCTTTTGTTCTGTTGGAAGTTAATCCTTTAAGTATTAGCGCTTCCTCCAGGAAGCCTTCTTTATTTCTCTTAAGCTGAATTACAAGTTCCTGCCTGATTTCAGTTTACCTTCTATATACCTCCCTGGAGTGAAATATATAATTGAAATTGTCCCTGTGTTTTTCTATTCCTTCTGAGAATATAAGCTCCTGGAGGTTAAAGGCATCTTCATCTTAGATACCCAATAAATATTTGTTGAATGAAAGAATAGTGGGATGCCAGCATTGTAGCTAGTACATCCATTTGGTCTGTTATTTATTGTGATTTATAACTTTCCTTTTATCATTGATCCAGCACTCATTTATTGTATGTGAATACACAGCAATCACAGTGGGGGGTTCCAGTAAGATTTGATCCTTGCCCTCATGAACCTTATAGGTGAAAATTGGTTCTTCTCAGAGTCATGCTTTTAAAAGTAAGATCTAATGTAGGCATTTTTGAACAAAATTGGCAGGGGGGCAGTAATAACCATTTTATGACTCAGTCCACAAAGAGTGGGTATACACTCAATAAAAGTACAAAATTTGGGTGAACTAGGGAAAGTGTTTCTTGAGAGGACGCATTATATTTCTTCTTGGGTAAAAGGACAAAAATTGAGTTTAATATTAATAATTAAAACTTGCTGATAAAGCACAGGGCATGGAGAAAATGTACACTTTTTGTTTTCTCTTCTAAAGGAGAGGCTAAAACTTACTTATGAAGAAAAGGGTGAGATCCTGGAATCTCAATTGAAGTTTTTGAGGTAAAGTATCATTGTCCATTTAAAAATTATAGCAAAAGCATAATGATCTTAAAATGTATTTGAATGTTTGCTGACACGCCAATTTTACTCAACTTAAGAATTACTTGATGACATTTTATGTTCAATATAAGAAATATCCTCAGGTTATTAAAGGAGCAGGGGCATAAAATTGTGAAGTCCCATTTCAAAGAACTATGAGCTAAATTATAAATTTTATCCCTTCATTAGTTATGAAATATTCATGTTTTATCATAGAAATTAAGAATCACTAGCTGCTCTGATAGAAATTATGCTTTTAAAATAAAATACTGAAAATAAACATTCTAGTTTTCAAATTATAAGCATTTTTTTTCTCTATAGGTATTTTTATCTAAAATTATAACAATAATAGTTTGAGTATTTTTCTATATATGATGAATATGAGTATACTGTCTCCCCTTCTCCATGGGGGATATGTTCCAGGACCCTCAGTGGATGCCTGAAACTGTGGATAGTATTGAACCTTATATATATTGTTTTTTCATGTATGTACATACCTATGGTAAAGTTTAATTTAGTAAGAGATTAGGCACAGTAAGAGATTAAGAGTGGTAACTAAAAATAGAATAGTTATAACAAAATACTGTAATAAGAGTTATGGGAATGTGGTCTCTCAAAATATCTTATTGTCCTGGCTGATCCTCCTGTTTGAGATGATGGGAGATCTAAAATCCCCAGGGGGTGAGATGAAGTAGGGGGGAATGATATTCACATTGTGACGTATTGTTAGGCTACCACTGACCTTCCGATGATCTGTCAGAAGGAGGATCATCTACTGCTGGACCTTGGTTGACCCTGCATAACTCAAATCATGGAAAGTGAAACTGTGGATTGGGGGGGATTTCTGTATACACAATAAGTTTTCATGTACTTTTTGACATGTTTTTTTAGAAGTCCCAATAAAATCTATATATTACAAATTAACCAATTAGTGATTTATTATATACTATGGGCAGAAAAAGATACCAGGAATTGAATTTTTTGGGGTGTTGAAGCTTATTTTAAATAATGGCAGTGAAATATTTTTCAATCAAACAAACTTTGAAATACTTTTTATAATTTTATTAAGTCTAATTTGCAATAAAATTTAAAATCTTCAGGCCACATATTGTTTGGAGACATAAGCAGAATAATAATACCCAGACCCAGAGCTCGTGGCTTTCGTGCTCATTTTTTAATACGCTCTTACTCACTTTATACCTTAGCCTGATTAGTTTTAGGATTTCTGTAGAGACTTTTATTTTTTCATGAAGAAACCTAACGTTTAAAAAGTGGCCTAATTTTTGCTTTCTTGCTTTTTTTTATCTAAGTCTTTATTTTGATTTCTGTTGTGTTTTGATTCTTCAGTTTTTGTTTTTGTTTTTTAGAGAGAGAGAGCACGAGCGAGCACGAGTGGGGGAGGGGCAGAGGAAGAGAGAGGATCTTAAGTAGACTCCACGCTGAGTGTGGAGCTGGACGTGGGGCTCAATCCCACAACCCTGGGATCATGACCTGAGCCAAAGTCAAGAGTCAATTGCTTAACTGGCTGAACCACCCAGACACCCTGATTCTTCATTTTTTAAACTAATGGCAATGTGATTATTTTGTATTATTCATAAGTCAAATGTGCCATCTTTAATTACATTAAAATACCACTTTGCAATGAACTAGGCTTTGTTCCCTGCACCTTCTACATCTTTCTTTTCCCTTTAGTATACCTTAAGATTATTTAAAGAGGCATTTTCTTTAAGAAAGAGATAAAACCACCATTCTCAGAAGCTCTGGCTTTCTGGTATCTATTTCTTTTTTATTTTTTTGCCATTTCGAGTAATCAAATCTACCTAACTGTTTGGAATTTGAAACTGACAGAAATAGTAATGGAGACCCTTTGATTTTGGAATGTGCTTCCGAAGTTCTTTTTACGAAGCCTTTGAAAGTCAGACTTTTTCTATATGATATTTAAAAAGAAAACTTATTACATTGGAGATATTATCTCAGGCATAGGGCAAAAACAGCTCCTTTTTTTTTTTTTTCACTTCAGACTATCATTAGCTTAGCTTTTTTAACCCTTAGATTGCCTGCAGATCTTTCTCACCTCCTCAAGGCTGCCTGAAAGCCCCCACATCCCAGAGTGGAGGTAGTGTGTGATAGCCAGGCATCTTATTATTGACCTCTCTTCTGTGATAGCAAGTTAGGATAGCTGTAGCTCTCTGAGTATAATAGAAATTGACAGCAGAGTTGACTGAGCTGGAGATAAAGTGCCTGCTTTCAGTAGTCCAGGTATTTAAGGGCTATTTTCTCTTTTGAAAGCTAGGAAGTTTTTATATATAAAATATACAGTAGGAAAGGAAGTGTGCAAGGAAGCTCAGTTGTCCCAGTTGGCTTTACCAAAGCTTTACTGGGAAGGGGTGGGGGCGAGAATACAACCCATACACTGGTCATTTTATCCTTAAAAAGTCAGCATGGAGAACCTCATCCAGGGACTATCTCACATAGTAAAACAAACAAAGTAAATACACACACACACACACACACACACACACACACTTCCTCAGCCCTTTCTTTTAGCAGACTGCCTATTTCCCGCTAATAGCTGCTGCTTATGAATCTTTATGAATGGTAAATTCTATATAACTTCTTTCTAAAAGAAGAGAGTAGCCCACTTTCTTTTGAAATAGGTCTTTATAGAACTTTGTGATTCAATGATTTTTTAGTTTTTTTTCTTCCTAAAGAAGAATGGGCAACAATAAATGACTCACAGATGAAATCCATGAGCTTCTAAGGTACTCTACACATTTTAAGGGTTAACACTTGGAATAGGGTATTTCCCTCAATTCAAGGATGTTGTGTTACGTTGCCTCGCCTTTTTATTAGGAGAAATGACTTAGGATTTGTATTTGGAGTTTTATTTTTGATCGGTGGACGATATAACATAATGGAGATGGATCCTTTGAAAAGAGAGCTGGTATCAAGAGGCAGACTAATCTGTGTTAAAATCTTACAAGAACTTGGGCTAATTATTTAATACATTCAAGTCTCATTTTACTCAGTGTCAATTAGGGTAATCACACTTACGTTTCAGGGCTGTGGGAGGAATTAATCAGGTATTGTATACAGAGCACCTCATAAGTTAAGCACTCGTAAGTAGTAGTAGCAGTTATCTGTGGGATGATACAGGTGACGTAGTGTACATGGTCATTTGCTAGAACTTTCTTTCCCTTCTTTTCAGGAAAGACCTAGCTGAATATCAGAAAAATTGTGAAGATCTTAAGGAGCGACTGAAGCATAAAGAGTCTCTTCTCGCTGCTAATATGTCTAACTGTGTTGGTGGCCTTTGTCTGAAATGTGCTCAGCACGAAGCTGTTCTCTCCCAAACCCATAATAATGTTCACATGCAGACCATTGAAAGACTGACTAAGTAAGTAGCTTCTCCACACGGAGGCTCCATAACATGGAAAACTGTGTCTTTAAAGGAGCATTGTGTTCTTTCATCCCCGTGCTGTCTCATGTGGGATTGATGCTGAGCTTCAAATAAAATGGATTTTATTTTATTTCACCGGAGCTTTCTTGAAGATGGAACAGGTGGGTTCTGCCAGCTGTGTGTGACCAGGTCACTGGGACAGGTAATTTTACTTCTCTCGGCCTCAGTCTCATCTTGAAGGAGAGAATCGAAGTAGATAATCATTACAATTCTGTTCATGTCTACGAGTCTATAATTGCAAATCCGGCACTATTTGTAACAAAAATGAGTTTGAGAGGAATTCTCTTTTTAAATATTTTTTATTTATTTATTTGAGAGAGAGGACAAGGAGCATGAGTTGGGGGGTGTTGGGAGGAGCGGCAGAGGCAGAGGGAGAAGCAGGCCTCCCGCTGAGCAAGGAGCCCGATGTGGGGCTCGATCCCAGGACCCCAAAATCATGGCCTGAGCCGAAGGCAGACGCTTAACCAATTGAACCACCCAGGCGTCCCTGAGATGAATTCTCTTGATTTTGCCAAGTCTTGGATTTCCAAGCTGAAGTTTAGGTAGAGTGAATTTTTATCACATCTTCATCACGTGCCTGCTGTGAGGAATATTGGGAGTGCATCAGAAGAACGACCCTTAGATCCACTATCAATTTTTGAAGATGAACTAAGGACAATTTCCAAATGAGCTTTCATGCAGTCGAAGTTTTCATCTAGGCTGAAATACTACAGTTCTCTATATACATCCTTTTTGTCCTATCTTCACTGTTCCAGGGAAGCCTTTTCCTGTGAAAAAGTTATCCTGTGGGATTTGAGAATTGTTATTTAATACACCATCCAATGGTGATTTATAGTGTGTGTTCTTCCGTGCCCCCTACTCTTCTGTATGCTGAAGATCACCCCTCTCTGTTTGGACTTATTTAAATAGCCCAGACATCACCGCCTCCAAGAAGTATTCTCTCACCAACCTCACCCCATCTTGCCCTCAACCGACTTAGGCGCCTTTCTTCTATGATTTTATAGTAGATTGTGTATACTTGGAGGTGATACCTGTGATGTGTTTATTTCTGTGTCCCTGGCTTCCGGCAGAGGACCTGGCCTGCGGTAGACACTCTGAAGGTTTGCTGTTCATAGGACAAGGCATTTTGGCAGTCAGAGTTCCTCCAGTTGGAACTGGTGTAGAGAATGGAAAGATTTAGTCCTTAAAGTCAGACTAATTTTACCCCAGTGTTTTGACCTTTGCACAAATTACTTTACCTCTCTGAGTCTGGACTTATCTTGTTTGAGGGAATAATACCTACATGTTGGGATTTTACTGGAGCACTTAGCCTTGTGGCTAGAGCACAAACTGCCTCGACTCATATTCTGGCTCTCCTAGTAACTGCCCATGTAACCTCGCGAAAGTTACTTAACCTCTCATGCCTCAATTTCCCAATTTTTAAAACAGAGATAAAAGTACCTTAATAGCGTTATTTTGAAGGTTCTTTGAAAGAATACCTATATGGTGCTTAAAACAGTTCCTGCCAAATAATAAATGCTCTATAAATATTAAAACTCCTCTGTACCTCTCCTACTCCAAAAGCAATCAAAATGTCTGGTAGCCATGGTTTCCATACATAACTAACCTATTGGTTGTTATATAGAAACTGAATTTCTCCAGTATGGACTGACTGGTAGTTTTTATGATCTGAGCTGATGGTCCTGCTTTTTGTTAAATACTATATTAATTAAATATATTATTAAATTATTCTTATATATTTCACATAGCTATAAAATTTATTAAATATATATTAACTATATTTCCAGATCCAACTACCATGTGGCAAACATTTATTATATACCAAGGACTCTGCCAGGCAGTTTAAAAACATAATCTTTTTTAATCTTAGTAAAGCATGTATGAGGTGAATATTACACCCATTTTGCAGCTAGAGATACTGATACTCAGAGGAATTAAAAATTTGCCTGTTTACATTTGAAAAAAAAAAGAATAGAACTATACTTCACAAAAACAAATTCAAGATGGTTTAAAGACCCAGATACAATTCAGCCTATAAAAGCATTAAAAGAAAATATAGAAAATTATCTTTATGGCTTTTGGCTAGGTCAAGTCCTGAACATGGTATGGAAAATGAATGCCATAAAGGAAAAAAATATATACATTTAACTTCATTAAAAACAAACTTCTTATGATATCATGATACAAATTGAAATTAAAAGACTGGGGAAAATATTTGCATGTTACATAACAAAAAATTGGTGCACTATCTCAAGAACATCCTTTGAAACAGACATGAAAGACAAACTGCCCAGTTGCAATGTGGATAAAGAATAAGAACTGGTGAGCAATCAAATAGGAAGATGTCAATGTATGAGAAGGTATTCACTCTGTTATTATTGAGGGAAATACAGATTTTTCAAAAAACCCTTCAAGTTGGTGAAAATTAAGGAGATTGATAGTGACAAGAATTGGGGAGGCCATGAGTGAGTGAATATTTTCACACACTGCTGGTGGGAACTGTAAGTCGATATTACTTTGTAGGGTAATTTAGCATTATCCATTCATAGCTGAACTGTGTATTACATGTTTCAAAATCTACCCCAGAGAACCTGTGTATGTGCACAATGGGGCCGTTCTAGGGAATGCTTTTGCAACATTACTTATAATTGGTGTTGTGATAGTGTGATAGGATAAGAAATACATATTTTGGTCTTTATCTCTAGTTCCTGGCACAGAGCTCCTAAAACCCCTGTAATGTCCTAAATGATAAGAACAATAGGAACATCCTTTGTTATATTTGGTTTCTGTCCCCTGCTCCTGAAATAGCTCTGAAACTTCAAGGTGAAAGGAACATCTTTTGTTATTCTTTCAAGCTCCTTTCAGCCACACCTGAGTTTATGTTAATGAGATGACTTTTGGAAACCCACTAAGGATGGGGGAGGCTAGTCACCAAGGGAGCCATCCATGTGATTAGAGGATTGGAACTTTCAGCCCCTATTCCCCAATCTCTGGGAAGTAGGCAGGGACTGGAGATTGAGTTCAATCACCAGTGGCTAATGATTTTATCAATCATGCCTAAAGAACCTCCCTAAAAACCCTAAACAATGGAATTTGGAGGGCTTCTGGCTTGGTGAACATATCAAGGTGCTGGAAGGGTGGCACGCCCAGAGAGGGCATGAAAGCTCCACTCTGCTTCCTACACACTTTGCTCTGTGCATCTCTTCCACTTAGCCCTTTGTGACTTGTACCTTTATAGTAAATGGGAAATAGTAAGTAAAGCACTTTCCTGAGTTCTGTGAGCTGTCATAGCAAATTGTCAAGGCTGAGGAAGGGGTCATGAGAACCCCTGACTTATGGCCAGTTGCTCAGAAGTACAGGTGACCATCTGGGACTTGCAGTTGGCACCTAAGGTGGGGGACAGTCTTATGGGACTGAGCACTAACCTGTGGGGTCTGTGCTGACTCCAGGAAATTAATGTCCCAATTGAGTTAGTATCAACTGAGAATTAGAAAATTGCTTGGTGTGGAAAATGCACACATAAGGTGTCAGAAGTGTTGTGAGTACAGAAACTGGAGGAAAAGAAGTGTTTCTTTTAGGTGTGAACAACCTAAATATCCTTCAAAGGTTTAGATAAATTATGTTATGCACAGTAAAAGAAAAAAAGAGTGAGGTAGATCTATATGTACTAATGTGGGACTAAGCTCCACAATATGTTGTTGAGGGAAAAAAATAAAGATGAAAAAAACACATCTGAAATGAAACCCATTTGTATTTTTATTTTTTAAAAAAAGCCCATGCACAGCCATACTATGTATTTTCTCCAGGTTCATACATAGGCACAGAAAAAGGTTTGAAAGAATAAGCACCCAATATTTAACAGGGATTACCCCTGGAGAGGGGGAGGAAGGCACCGAAATCGAAAGTAGGTGTCAAGTGGGTCTTTACCCATGTTGGTAATTACATTTACAAGGAAAATATAATGAAAAATTCATTTAAAAAGGGCAAAAAGCATATTCAAAGTCACACAGATGAAGAGAAACAGAGTTTAACTAAGTGATCTAGCATAGCCAAACCAACAAATAAAAGACAGGGTTTTTTTTCCCCCTATTGCCTTTCATATTATCCTTATAGGTCATGAGGAAAATATTTTAAGAGGAAGCTACAAAGTTTACATTGATTTCAAGGCTGGCAGTCATTTAGAAATTAGATTCTTCCTTGGTTATGTATTCCTTTGTGACTATTCTACATTTTAGCTCTTAGCCTTTTAAAATAAATGTCAGCCTTCTCTGTTCAATTTTCTGCTTTGTCAGCATATCATGAGCTCATGTTCTGCTTTCCTAACAGAGTACAGTGGAAGGCTCCTGCTTTTATTGTCAATGAAACCTTTGTCTATAGGATTCCTTTGGCCTCAGCTGGTGTTCAGCTTCTTTCAACTTATTAATGCAGAAGGCTGAATATTGAGTGTTATGCTGCCTTTGAAGAGTGGCCAGCACTTTTTAGGTCTGGATTTCTAGTTTTCTGCATAATTAGTAGCCTGGACCCTCAGTAAGCTGTATCGTAGAATTTCCTGCAGGACTCTAAGATGGAATTTTAAAAAATTATATCCCAAATATGATGAATCAAAAGAATCTCCTGGCCTCTACTTGAAATGTGGCATTGTGACATGAGCTGTAAGTTCCTTTGTTGAACTTCTAGCACAGACTGTATTGGCTATATGACAGGAGTGCCTCGAGCTCTTGAAAGGGACAGGACTGGGCATGACCTCGAGATCAAACCACCAGTATGTTTGTGGTGTTGTGTTAGGACCATAAGGACTTTTTGGAGAGTATACCTAACAACTGTTGATGACATTGGATACATTTTAAAAGTTGCTTTGAAGTCCTCCTAGTGTTTCTGAACTTCTGCCTTTCACTCAGGCCTCATTATGCCTTGAGGTAAGTAAGAGCGATGACAGTGACCTCTCTTTCTTGAGTAATGACCAAAACACCTTCAAATGATAATCAAGATGGAACTGCTTTGTAATTCGATTCTTTTCTATAGCTCCTAGTGTCTTGGAGAAGTTTCAGAATGCTGTTTAGAAAGGAGAAGTGATTACTACTATACTATCCTGGGACTTTAGTCCAGCTTGTGAATTTTGAGTGGGTCTTGGCAATGTGGTGTATAGTTGGCTTTGAAAGACTATGCAGGAACTTCCCAGAAATGAGGAACAAGGAAATGTTGTAGTCAGCCCTCTAGACTTGCTTTTAAAAGACAGGAATAACACTAATGATGCTTAATGATGCTTGAAACTGGTACTCACTGTGGAATAGCTGAGAAATTTCAGGCATTTCTTAGACACCTTGTCTTTCAAGATGAAGCTCATGCTCATATATCAGACCAACTCTCCCTTTTCCTTATTTTAAACATCTGACCCAGATTATTCAGGGACTTTCTCGGCCCTTGTCGCTCTGATTGTTGCACTAAATTCCTGAAATACTCCACGCTCATTAGCTGGTTCATCCCAGAACTCGCACCCACTCCTTGCCTCGACTTGTGCATTGGCTGCTCTTTCAGGGTCTTTTGATCGTGGAATGTGGCAGTGTTGATGCCGTGTTGCTTGCTCTGCTTCGAAAAACTCCTTGATGACACTTAGATGGTGTTCCTGAAGCACTCGCAGACCTTTGGCCATTGCAGATGGTAATTTGGCGAACTGCCACCTCACACCCACAATGGTAGGTCATATGTATTTGTACAGCTTCCCACTGGGAGAGGTGCACTGGGGTCTGGCTCTGGGCTGGGCCTGGGGATTGGGAGCTCTGGAGCAGGCCTGCAGCGGCCCAGGTAGTTCTCCAGGGTGGCCGAGATTGACTGCTCCTGAAGGCCAGATAATGTGGAGTAGGTTGGGGCTGGGGCTAAAAAAGGAGCTAAATCAAGAAGGTGACCTAGGAATGGGACTGGAAGCAAGGCCTCGTGTTGAAGGCAGGGCTAACATGCCCAGAGTTGCGTCTGTTTCAAGTGCTTGCTATTTGGATATGGGCTGACCGAGTTGAAACAAAGCAAAACAAAAAATGTAGGGACTGAGTGGATAATCCTAAATTATCAAGATGGCTTCCTGCACCTGTAAGTGTGTGTGCAATTTAAGCATCTCTCTGGAGCTTCCCAGCTGGTCTGAGGACCGCCTTAAAGCATGGGTACATTTCTCTTCCAGAAAATTGGAGTGTGTCAGTCCAGTGGCCATACAGATGTTTAGTATCATCATTTCATGGGCTCGCTGTTGAATGATGAGGTTAACAAGACATCAGTATTTGGGGGTGTTTATCTTTGATGATTGTCTGTCATCTGAACCTGATGAGCTGATAGTCTGAAAAGTTTTTGAACCAGAACACCTAAACTCTTTAGTCTCCAATTCTAAATAGCCTAGTGACTTTTTAAATCTAGATCCTAAGGTATTAGAACTGGGAGGAGTTTTACTTTACCTCTTTTGATGCCCTCCTATAGCAAAGTCACTACTTGTTCGATTGGTCTTTTGTCCTTATTCCACTGAGTATCTGCTAATGTGGCAAACGCTTCTCAGCAAGAGGACATACTGAAAAGAGATTAAATATATTAAGCGTTAAGTCTCCTGTAAGAAACAGATTTGTTCGATTTTGATCCTGTTGTGATCTGTCAGCATACTATCAACACTGAGCTTTTCTGTTAATTCTTTTAGTTGGAACCTTGGCTTCAGTGATGCATGGCATCCCAAAGAGGTCAGAGCATCACTGAATGCTTTCTCAGTCTGACTTACAACTCTAAGAAAGGTGATGGTCTGATGCCCATTTTGACTTGTTGTCCTTAAAGAGCGAATTATTTTCTAGAGTCGTACATTCTAGTTGGACTGCATATTCTCAATGAAGCTAGTACTCTTTTATGTTAGAGCTTTTTTGAAATGCAGATAAGTATAAATTCACTTTGCCTTCAAGTAATCTGTGTTTGACATAACGAGAGTGATTTAACCTTGCTTTGATTCTTCTACTCTTTCACATAATCATTGTGTTTGATTATATTTGATCAAAATAATTAACTCTTTTCATTTCCTTTAGAACAAAAGAAAGAGTAAATTATTTTTCTCAATTCAAAACACACCAGCAAATTCTAAAATGAAGATCACTGTGCTCTCATGAATTTTATGATAGTTGAAGCCATTCTTTTTTTTTTTAAACAAAACGGGCTTTTATGAAACTACTAATAATTATAACTTTGTTCAGTATTACATATTTCTTAAAATATGAGTGCTTTCCAAATACCACAAATAGTTTAAATTATTTTATCTTTAAGAGATTTTTTTAGGGGTGCCTGGGTGGCTCAGTCGTTAAGTGTCTGCCTTCGGCTCAGGCCATGATCCCGGGGTCCTGGGATCGAGCCCCGCGTCGGGCTCCCTGCTCAGTGGGGAGCCAGCTTCTCCCTCTCCCTCTGCTGCTCCCCCCTGCTTGTGCTCTCTCTCTCTGTCAAATAAATAAATAAAATCTAAAAAGAAATTTTTTTTAAATCATGTCACTGGTTAATTCTGAAAGCAACTCAAGCTCAGATTATAACCTTTGAAATTATTTCTCCTTCAGGTTGCTAAACTTAAAAAAAAAAAAAAATCAGAGTTGGCTCTTTCCTGGTAGTTTAGGACTTGGCAAAAAAAAAAAAGGAAACTGCAAGCAGTTACTTGAACTGAATTTGAGACCACAGTTTAGAACTTGAGCTCTTAACAAAGCATGGGAAAGCAGAGACAGACGTCCGACTTACTTCTTCTTTTTGCTTTGTGTGTGTGTAGAAAGTTTCCCACTTCATTTTCTCTTTGCTCTAGTGATCGTTTTTATCTAATGGATAAATTCCAAATACTCTAAAATCTTCTGCGGGATTTATTTAACTCATGAGATTGGATCTTTGCTAGTTTACATGCCAAAGTGTTTTGGCATCTGGTTGCATCTATCCCTAAGAAATAGTTAGCTTAGAGGACTTCTGAGAATTGCTGACAAGGGTGTGGGGCCAGGCAGCGATCAAACCAGTGGGATGAGATTTTATTAAATCCTGAGTGTTCTCTGCATGACCAGGGCAGTTGAGTGATTCAGCAGTCCTCCCCATTGAAAGAAGAAATGTGTTCATAAGTAGGTGAAAGAATTTAATTGAAAGAGAAGGGTGGAAAAGGGGGCTGTGGAGGAAGACAAACAGGCAAGGACCTATTTGTTCAGACAAACGAGAGGGGTGTCAGTGTAGATAAGACCTTAGTAGCCCCTGAACATGTTAACTTCCACTTTGAGGTAGAGTTCCCGCCTTCTCTGTCTTACTCCTTTTTTCTCCCAGCCCCCACCCTTCTAATTTTTAAACGAACTTCCTCTTTTCTAGGCTTTACTCTGCAGCCCACAGTGGGGCCGTCCTCCACACAACAGGTTATTGTCCCACGCAGACGGAGCCCTGCCATGAATGTCCAGCTTTCCTGGCTGCTCTGCCTGGCCCTCGCCAAGGGAGGGCAGAGGGTCTCTCTCCTGGCGTGCTCTACCATGTGCCGAGCCAGCCCCCCCGGCTCGTCTTCCACCGTGTGCGAATGCCTTTCTCTTCCTCACTTATGAATACAGGATCGTTTGACCATGTCTTGTTTTGAATGTTCTTTCTGTGCTGACAGGGAAAGGGATGACTTAATGTCTGCGCTGGTCTCCGTCAGGAGCAGCTTGACAGATGGGCAGCAAAGAGAAGCCAGTGCTTATGAGCAGGTGAAACAGGCTCTGCAGATGACCGAGGAGGCCAACTTCGAGAAAACCAAGGCAAGTCTCGGAAGACCAAAATAAAGGCGCGCCGTAACTGCCCTGTTTTCTTTTCCAAAGTATTTCTGTGGTTATTCTTCCATGACTAAACTCTTTTCTTCCGAACATGCAAAGTGAATGCCAAGCTGTTAATGGTGACTTTGTGAAATGAAACAGATTTCCTGGTAGAATTCTTCTTCCTCTGTAAATCTTCCTATTATATCACTAGTCAGAGAATGTAGTACCACGTGGGAAAGTGCGTGGAGAGATTTGCACACTTCATCTCCTCATTTGCTGATAATTTTGAACGCTGTGAAAACCTTAACACCATTCGTATGAGTTCCTGTATGACAACTGACAAATGTTTCTCCCCTGTGCCTGGGAAATGTTGAGAACATCCAGACCTGCCACAGATAATAAATAATATATGTGTATTGAATAGCATATTTGGCTATAAATGGGTATGGATCCATGGATGCTAAGTCACACACATTGAATGATAGTGAGAGTAATCATTAGCACTTCATGATCAGGCCGTGTTGCAGGCACTTTGAATCCTAGGAGGTTCTTGTTGATTCATTGCTATGTTTGGGGGCCACACCTCAGCATCAGTATTTTATTAAGGTATGGGGCTCTTCACCCCTATAGTCAGCTCCTTAGTCACTTCCTTGTCCCTTGGTCTCTACCCAGTTCATCCCTGGCTCTTCCCAAACCACTGACCATCATTGCTTCCGTGACTAATGCCCTGATGCCTCTGAAACTTATGTTCATTCTGACCAATTTTGTCTTCCTCAAACACTCCTGGTTGTTCATTGGTACTGAACTCTTGTCCCTTGATGATACCATGACCCTCAAGCCCTCCAGTGAAGGCCCTTTGCCACTCATATCTCATCTGGCTGTGATGGAAGAATGAGCATGCACTCCACTCCTTACTGCCAGTTCCAGGCCTTTCTTCTATCCTTTCCGTTAGTGACCAATCCTCTTTGAAATCATCGTGGTCTCTCTTCTCCCTAATTTTAATCAATATAAACTCTCAATTACTATTTGTCACAGTGTCACTGTTTAACACTGTTTTTCAAAGAAACTCATCCATGTTATCACTTGGGTTTATAAAATAGTTGTTGGCTATTTGACTCTTTTTAAGAGCATTAACATCTGACCCTTTTCCCCCTCATCTTTGTCTGCTCAGGCTGCTAGAACAAAAATACCATAGCCTGACTGGCTTCAACAGCAAACATTTATTTCTCACAGTTCTGAGGGCTGGGGAGTCCAAGATGAAGGCACCAGCAGAGCTGGTGTCTGGTGAGGGCATGCTTCCTGGTTCACAGATGGCCGTCTTCTTGCTGTGTGGCCTCACATGGCCGAGGGGGGAGGGAGCTCTCTGGGACCTCTTTTATAAGGGCACTAATCCTATTCATGAGGGCTCCATCCTAAGGACCTAATCACCTCCCAAAGGCCAAACATCCTAATACCATCACATTGGGGTTTAGGTTTCAACACATGAATTTTGAAGGGGCACAAACATTCAGTCCACAGAACCCTCCGCCTACCTCCTTTGATCATCCTGAAAGCTTTCTACGTCCATGTTGTTAATACACGCAACACCATGGTCCCAACACACTTGGGCTTGCTTACCTCTAATATGTCCCCTCTTCTACAGTAACTGTCACCTGAACCAACATGTCCGTGGTGTCTCAAACTCTGCATTTGCTACCTCTGACCAGCGTTTCTCTCTGCCTCCCTATCACCATTAAACCTCCTCAGTGTCCTCATTCCTGCCTCTGCTTCTTCAGTCTCCTCTCCTGTCTTGTTTTATCTATTGTGTCCAGGCTGGTCTTCTTCCTCTCCCGTTCCGTTCCGTTCCATTCCATTCCATTTCCTTCCTTCCTTCCTGCCTTTATTTATAAAGATTTACTTATTTGAGAGAGAGCGAGCATGCGTGCAAGCTGGGGGGAGGGGCAGAAGGAGAGGGAGAGAGAGAGAGAGAATCTCAAGCAGACTCCCTGCTGAGCACAGAGCCCAACGCAGGGCTCGATCCCATGATCCCGAGATCACGACCCAAGCCGAAATCAAGAGTCAGATGCTTAACTGACCGCACCACCCAGGCGTCCCCCCTTCCATTTAAATAGGAACTTCACATCCCCAACTGAACTCATGACATTTACTCCCCAACGCTGCTGCGTTCTCTCTGGGACCGCACCTCTGTCCACCACCGTGCCCTGACCCGAAAGCTGGTTGCCATTAGTTTCTGAACTCTTCTTGAATTCTTTCCTCACTGTCACCTTTCTAGTTCAGGACACCATTATCTCTGGGTTTATGAATTACAACATCCTCTTCCTTCGCTGCGTTCTCTACACTACCCTGCAGCCAGAAGGGACCTTTCTTCGAGGCAGATTTGATCCTGTGATTCTTCGATTTCCAATCTGTCTGGGATTGCCCACTGCCTCAGGACAGTCTCTAAGCCTTTGGCATACTTCTGAGATCTGGCATGGGCTTCCTTATTACTGTCCTCCAACAGACTCGGCCTCTGTCAGCTTGGAAAGGCAGTCAACTTTAGGGGTTGGGTGAGGTCTTTGTTAGAGTTAGCAGGCCTCGATTCAACTCTCAGCTGCACCATTTCCCCAGCTGGGTGACCTAGGACAGCTTACTTAATTCCCCCGGCCACAGTTTTTCCTCATCGGTAAAATGGAAATAATATCTGACTTAGAGGATTGTTAGTGAGGACTGCATTTTATTTTATTTATATTTTTAAAGATTTTATTTATCTGAGAGAGAGAGAGAGAAAGCGAGTGAGCAGAGCCAGGTGGTGGTGGGGCAGTGGCAGAGGGAGAAGCAGGCTTCCCGCTGAGCAGGGAGCCTGATGTGGGGCTCCATCCCAGGACCCTGGGATCATAACCTGAGCTGCAGGCAGATGCTTCACTGACTGAGCCACCCAGGCGCCCCAAGGACTCCATTTTAAAATGTGTATCCGTTATGTTGTAGAAACTCTGGCACAAAGTATTTCCTCAAGAGCTAGCACCTCTGATGGTGACAGCCACTTCTGCCCCGTTTTTGTGCTTCTGTTACAGCCCCTGGGTGTTTGTACCTGCCATGCAAATTCTTCACTCCCCACCTAGATGTTTTCTCCATCTCTTAGGTCTGCTGCTGTCTCTAGAAAATCTCTGGTCTCCCATGCCTAGACTTGATGTACCTCTTATGTGTCTTCACAGAAAGGCTTCTCAGCCTTGGCACTATTGACATTTTGGACTACATAGTTCTTTGTTTTAGACCTTGTACAGCCTGCACATCATAGGATTTTTACCAGCATCCCTGGTCTCTATTCCCTAGATGCCGGTAGCATACCTCCTCTTCCCCAAGTTCTGGCAACCAGAGATGTCTCCATATATTGTCAGGGGTTCCCACGGGTGTGTGTGCATGTGTGTGTACATGTGCATGTGCGTGCATGTGTGTACATGCGTGTGTGGGGGCATATGTGCGTGTGTGTGTGTGTGTGCGTGCATGCTGAATTGCCCCCAGGTAAGAACTACTCCCCATTATGTACAGCACTCATCAGTGTATTAGTCTTCCTTATTTGTCTTTATCTTTCATTAAACTTTTATTTATTTATTTATTTAGAGTGTGCGTGCACATGTGTGCAGGGGCGGGGGGAGAGGGAGGGGCAGAGGGAGAGAGAGAGAACCCCAAGCAGGCTCCACACTCAGCGGGGAGCCCAACATGGGACTCGATCTCATGACCCTGAGATCATGACCTGAGCCAAAATCAAGACTTAGACGCTTAACTGACTGAACCACCTAGGTGCCCCTTTCATTAGACTTTAAAATCTCTGATAGGAAGGAACTTACCCATCTTGATTACTAGTAAATCTTTAGCATCTTGCATAGTGCTTGGCATGTAATAGGTTCTCAGAAAATATCCTCTAACTAAGGGAATTGTAATCTGTTTTCAGTAACACTCTAGAATTCTTTTATTCTTATCTTTCCAGTTTACCCCCATGGCCAGTGCCCAGCAGAGGCTCAATCACACATTTTTTTTTTTCCTATTGCTACTTTCAGCCTTTCAAGTGATGCTGAAGAAAGTCACAGAATGAATTCCACGGGAGACTGATACTGGTCATCCTCAGTGGTTAGAAGTACTGTTTAGCAGTTCTTTTCTTTGCAGTTGGCCACCTTCTGTACCATAGGAAGGAATTCCACTTTCTGTACGTCCCCAGCTCTGCTGTTAACTCCTCACTCAGTAGCTGACCTGAGTTACTGATGTCACAGCCAACTGACAAGAGCCTCTTCAACATCTTCTCATCTCCCAGACGTGTCCTCTACTCATTTTTCCTTGCTTCTCTGGCCCTCTTACTTCCCAAGATGAAATCTTCTCTAAGTTACTGAAGTCTCCTAGCCTTTTGTCATCACATCTTCTTGTATCTTTGGTCCCTCCCTCCCCTCTGTTTCCCTCTTCATCCATCTCCAGCTGTTATTCTTGCTTAAACAAACAACAGGCAGCCTTCACGTGATCAGCTTCCACTTCATCCACGAACTTCTTGCCGCCATTTCACCGGCAGACCTTTCAAAATGAGTGTCCACCGTTGCAGCCTTCCGTTCCCTTCTGAGCACACTGCAGGCGGGCTTGCAATAAATGGCAGTCTGACTTCATGCTGCTGAATTGCTCACTTAATTAATGGTCACCAGTCACTTCCGATTACTAAGCCCGGTGATGTCATCTCCGTCTTCATTCGACTCCTGACTCTGCTGTCTTGGAAGCCATTGGCTGTCCTTTCATAACATGTCATCTTTCCCCCTTGATTTATCTGACATTTACTCCCATGGGTTCTTTTTGTATTGCTCTTATCTACTCTTCTCCATCTCTTTTCACTTGTTTTCCACAAGCCTTAGACATAATTAGTAGTTCATAGCCTTCCACCTGCGTTGTCCTCATTTCCAGGAATTTGTCTCTCCTGTCATGTCCAGAACATTCCCTGCATTTGAACACCCCCGCCTTGTGCCTTTAGCTCTAACAGCATTCTTGAGCAC